CGCCCGAAGGCACCCAACTCCCCCCTACCTTGCACGCTTTGTCGTCGTACCGACCATCCACCATCCCGAAGGCAGCCCAAGTTAGAAGGCGACATTCCATGCCCAACTAGTCTCATGTCGCACGCCCACGGTCGTTTGACTCCGCCCCACCAAGCATGTTCTTCCACCACGCAGCCTTCAAAACATAGGGCTGCCCCACGGATGGCCCGACGGCGTCACCACAACGTCGCACGCTCGACGAGGCTCATGTTGGACGCCCGAAGGCACCCAACTCCCCCCTACCTTGCACGCTTTGTCGTCGTACCGACCATCCACCATCCCGAAGGCAGCCCAAGTTAGAAGGCGACATTCCATGCCCAACTAGTCTCATGTCGCACGCCCACGGTCGTTTGACTCCGCCCCACCAAGCATGTTCTTCCACCACGCAGCCTTCAAAACATAGGGCTGGCCCAAGGAAGGGAGGCATGCCACAACGACGTCCCACACTCAACGAGGTTCATGCCGCACGCCCGAAGGCACCCAGCTCCACCCCACCTTGCATGTTTCATCATCGTACCAGCAGCCATCCACAGTCCTCACACCAGAGATTCCCAGTCAGAAGGCAACATTGCAACGTTCCGCGCTCAACGAGGCTCATGTCGCACGCCCAAAGGCACATGATTCCAACCAGCCGAACATGTCCTGGCACCACAGGCCTTCAAAACATACGGCTGCCCCAAGGATGGCCCGACGGTGTCACCACAACGCCGCACGCTCGACGAGGCTCATGTTGGACGCCTGAAGGCACCCAACTCCACCCCACCTTGCACGCTTTGTCGTCGTACCGACCATCCACCATCCCGAAGGCAGCCCAAGTTAGAAGGCAACATCGCAACAGTCCCATCTCAACAAGGATCATGTTGCACGCCCGAAGGCGCGACCGACAACTACCTCGAACCTGCAAGTTTCGCCACCGCACCGCCGCCGTCAACCGCCGTCGTCCGCCATCCACCACCCCCACACCCCAAGCATATGCCCATGTGCGGCGCATAGTGCTTGGGGCGTGGGGGTGGCGGAGGATATAGGGGGCGCCCCCATGGCCAGCCCATGCAGACTAGTCACCCCTCTATATAGTACATTTTGAGGCATTTTTGGTCTGCCAGGCCCAGACACGATTTTTACGAGCCGTCATACGGTCGAATATCTCGAGTTTTACAATGTTTTTTTCCGGGAACTCGATTGGTTCATGAATGGGACATTCTCATGGGTCTATAAATCAAGTTTCATGACTTTT